TGACCACAGCAAGCCCAAGCCCCGGGAGCTGGCCTTCCGCAAGGGGGACATGGTCACCATCATCGAGGCCGTGGAGGTGAGACCTGTGTGTGCTCAGGACACGCTGCACTGAGAGGGCACGGCCGGAGTGCGACCCCAGTGCCATCAGCTCAGCTGTCAGCGCCAGTCCCTCCCTTCCCAGAGGGATCCGCCCTTCCTTCCCTTGCTCTGAGACCCTCTCGTCCCCAGGGCAAAGGCTGGTACCGCGCCAGGCACAACGAGACGGGGCAGGAGGGGCTGCTGGCAGCCAGCGCGCTGCGGGAGCGCGGGGCCATCCGCGCCGACCCCAAACTCAGCCTGATGCCGTGAGTACAGCTGGGGTCACTGGGGGCCCCGGGGGACCCAGCTGAGCCCCTGGAAGCTGCAACAGCAGATGAGTCCAGCGTGTCCCCCCACCCATGTTTTGGGGACAGAGCATCCTGTGGCCGTGCCCTGGCGATGGAGGGATTTGCTGGGGCCAGAACCTGGCTTCAAGAACCCCTAATTGTGCCAACCCAGCTTGGCTGGATCCCGTGGAGAGGGGTTTCATGCAGTAGGGTCTGTGTAGCTTTGGCAGGGCTCTGCTTTCCCCATCTCGCTTCTGCCCCTGGGGAAGCCCCCTGGCTCAGCCCCCTCTCCAATGGCCCCTCCTCAGCTGGTTCCATGGGAAGATCTCAGGGATGGAGGCGGTGCAGGAGCTGCAGCCCCCCGAGGACGGGCTGTTCCTGGTGCGTGAGTCTGTCCGGCACCCCGGTGACTACGTGCTGTGCGTGAGCTTTGGCAAGGAGGTGATCCACTACCGCGTGGTGCACGAGGAGAACACGCTCAGCATCGACAGCCAGCAGTACTTCTCCAACCTCATTGACATGATTGAGGTGAGACCTGGGGGCAGAGGGTCCCACCGGTGCCAGAGCAGGGCAAGGACCTCATGGGCTCACACAGAGGCAGGTCCTTGTCCTGTTCTGTGTGGTTTTCAGTGGTGTTTTACCTGGTGTAATTCTCTATCCCCTTCAAATGCTCACGGTTCCCACTCAGTTTGGGGTGCAGTGGGCAGATCTGGGATACCCCAAGGATGTCTCTGCAATCCAGCTGTGCCAACTGAAGTCACAGTCCCTGGCCAAGAGCCACATTACCCCTATCCCTGCTTATTCAGTACTTCATGTAGCAGGAAGACCCTGGTGGCCTCTGCCTCCCCTGGACTTCGAGGCATTTTGCTGTGTCTCCCTCCACTCAAAGCCCTCTCTCACCTGCTGACCCCACAGGGCTCACAAGCTGTTGTGTGAGCTCTCACCCTTCCAGTGAGTTTTTCCTGGTGGTCCTTCCCTCACCCTGTCTCCTCTCCAGGGAGACAGTTGCACTCTTGTGTTTTCCTTTTAGACACAACTTTTGGGTGACTCCTTTCCCTTCTCTGCTGCCCTAGCCCCACTTTAAAACTCCGAAGGTTGTCCTGTCCCATCCTGTCCCATCCTGTCCCATCCTGTCTGGCTGCATCCTCTCCCATTGCCTCTGCCAACTGCCCTCAGCTGCTGCAGCACCTGCCAGGGGTTCAACTACACCAGTAGCACCCCATATCCCCTCTGGTTCATCTGGTGTTCCTCTGGCTGTCCCCAGAGGGGAGCAAGGCTGAGACATGGGCTGTCCTCGAGGGTGGCGATGGTGCAGTCTCATGGAGCATCCCAAAGCTGTTCCCTGGACACCCCGACCCTGAGGGTAAGATCTGGCATCACCTCCACCTGTTCATCCCTTGACAGCATTACATGAAGGAGCAGGGAGCCATCTGCACCAAGCTGGTGAAGCCCAAACCAAAATCTGGGATGAAGTCAGCTGAGGAGGAGTTGGCCAAAGGTAGGGGATGGTGGGAGGGGGTTGTGATCTGCATTTTGGGGACAAGGCCCCACTGGTGGCCACTGCTAACCTGCCCTTGTGCCCATGCCCAGCTGGCTGGTTGCTGAACCTGAAGCACCTCACACTGGGAGACCGCATTGGGCAAGGCGAGTTCGGAGGTAGGTGAGAGGATGGGGCTGGAGGTTCCCCAGTGCAGCTTTCCCACATGGCACTGCCTGATCCCCCTCCCCATCTCATGGCATGGGGAGCTCAGCCTGGCGTACAGGAGGGTGGGTGTGGGGCTCATCCTGACTCTCCCATGCTCTCCCAGATGTCCTGCAGGGCGAGTACTTGGGGCAGAGGGTGGCTGTGAAGAACATCAAGTGCGATGTGACTGCCCAGGCCTTCCTCGCTGAAACGGCTGCCATGACGTGAGTGCTCCATGCAGGCATGGCCCGACCCTGCCTGTGGCCCGGGATGAGCAGGCACCTCCTTACTCAGATCCCCTCCATTCCAGGAAGGTCCGGCACAAAAACCTGGTGTGTTTGCTGGGAGTGATCCTGCACAACGGCCTCTACATTGTCATGGAGTTCATGAGCAAGGTGAGAGTACCTGGCTGCTCCTCAGGCAGTGGGACCCATCACCACTTAGATTTGGGAACAATGTCTCTGTCTAGGGGCTGAGTCATCATAGCTGCCAGGCACTGCAGCACCTGCAGAAGGCAAAGTCTCCTGGCAGCCCCATCCCGTTGGTCCTGACTCACTTTATCCTCCTCTGTCAGGGCAACCTGGTGAACTTCCTGCGCACGCGGGGCCGGGCGCTCGTCCCGACCCAGCAACTCCTCCTGTTCGCTCTGTAAGTTTCCCTCCTCCTCCGGGCTGGGACCCAGCGCCCTGCACGTCCCTGTGCAGTCCCAGGGAACACTCAGTGACACGGCTCTGTCTCATTCGGTTGTGGCAGGGATGTGGCTCAAGGCATGGACTACCTTGAGTCCAAGAAGTTGGTGCACCGGGACCTGGCTGCCCGCAACATCCTCATCTCCGAGGAGAACGTGGCCAAAGTGAGCGACTTCGGCTTGGCCCGGGTCAACCCCAAGGGTGCAGATGCCACATTGCTTCCTGTGAAGTGGACGGCACCAGAGGCCCTGAAACACAATGTGAGGGACAGTGAGGGGGACAGGGCTGGTCAGGGGGTCCTTCCAAAACATCTCATGCCCTTGGGTTGCCCCTGCTTGTTCCCATTCCCACTGACCCATCCCTGCCCCACGGTGGCCTCTGGCACAGTCAGCCCTGCATCTCCCAATTCTGCCTCTGTCCTGAGCAAGCATGCAGTGGGAATTGGGGCAGGATGATGGGACTGGGGGGTATTCACACCCTGGGGACCTGAGGTGGGGCAGGGAGCAGTCACTGTCCTCTGTCTTGCTCTCGGGAAGCAACGGGGACCCAGCGCAGCCCTCAGCTGGCTTCAGCCTCCCCTCTCCTGCCACCACAGAAATTCTCCTCCAAGTCGGACGTGTGGAGCTACGGGATCCTCCTGTGGGAAACCTTTTCCTTTGGACGGGCACCCTACCCTAAGCTGGTGAGCACTGTTCCAGGGAACACCACAGGTTACACCCCACTGGCACTGATGGGACAGGGACATCCCACTGCCCCCTGAGCAGAGCAGGGAAGGGGGTTGCCATCTGGCTTCTCCATCCTGTCAGGCCCTGAAGGAGGTCACGGAGCTGCTGGAGCAGGGGTACCGCATGGATCCCCCCGAGGGCTGCCCGCCCACCATCTATGCCCTGATGAAGAGCTGCTGGGAGCTGGAGCCAGGCAAGCGCCCGTCCTTCAAGAAACTCACAGAGAAGCTGCAGAAGGAGCTGAAGCACCTGAGGGACATTTAACCCCCATCCTGCTACCAGGACACAGGACCTGAAGTCCCTAGACCCTCCAGCGTTGGGAGTGGCAGTAGGGGGCAGGAACAGGAGGGCCTGTGGTGCTGCTCTCTCCCTGTGGAGATGGGGCAGCAGCCTCCCTCCATCCCAGCATGGTCCTTCTACCCACCACACAGCCCAGAGAAGGTTGCCATGGGATTGATCTCCCCTGGCCCACCAGAGTGGGGAGCACAGACCCCAAGGGAGCCAAGCCCACACCCCCTGTGCTCAGCCCCAGGAGCAGATGCTGCGTGTGGGGTCCCTTCAAGCTGCGACTCTCAGAGATGAGAGACAGGACTGGACATCTCAACTCACTGGAGGATGAGACCCCACCCTGACTCAGCCCTGCCCCAGTGCCCAGCCCCACACGGGGATGCTGGCACAGCCAGCTAAACCACATGGATTTGGGCTTTTTGATTAAACCAAAGAAATTCATTCAACAGCATCTTTAAGCCTCTGGGGTGAAATTAGGCCTATGTCTCACTTGGGGCCTGACAAAGCCCAGTGAAAGGCTTTGGAGGGGCCAGGAGCTCTGGCCCTTGGAACCCCCCATGCCATCCAGCCCCTCTCCCATCGGGGCTCTGTGCAGCAGGGGATTATGCTTTAATCAGAGCCTGTATGGGAATTGCTTTCATATAGATTAGGGCACGGGGCGCATCCCAGCCGTGGGGAGTCCCCGGCCCCGCAGGCTGCCGAGCAATCTCGGTCTCGGTGGAGCGGGGATTAGCGGGGGCACGGGGCTGCCGCGGGTGGGTGTGCACCGCCACCGCCTCATCTGCTGCCAGTCCTTTGACCCTCGACTGGGTTTTTTCGGCTAATCCTCTTGTGTCTCCTCTGTGCTGACTTCCTGCACCCCCAGTCCCCCTGAGTGCATGGTTCTGGGTGTCCACGGCATGGTGCTCTCCCAGGGCTTGCCCCAGCCCCGTGGGTGCTGACCCAATTTTGGACCCATGTAATGGGGGGTATTTCAGCCTGACCCACTGTGTGATGCAGTTTGATGACTCCTTCCACCTCCCTGTCACTCTGATGAGGCAGCACCTGCTGTCCCCCCACGCTGCCACTGTCCCCTGCAAGAACCCTTGGGTGCAGCAAAGGGAAGGTCCTTCCACCCTGGCTGTGCCTTCCCCTCCTAATGCCTTAATCCGCACCTGATCCGCGGCGCCCCTGGGGCTGGGCCCACTGACCTTGCAGGCACTGGGACCCAGTGGGCACCTTGGAGCAGGAGCTGCCACCACCACCCACCATGGCCTCCTTCTTCACGGCCACCCTGAAGAGCTTCCAGGGGGGCAAGGACGAGTCCCCCAAGGGGGCCCCCAAGGATGACAAGGCAGCTGCTCTGCCCAGCAGCATGGCCCGCGAGGAGTTTGAGGAGTACCAGCGGCAGCTGCTGGAGGAGAAGTAAGGCTTTGCCGGGGCTGAGTGGGTCACTAGGGTCCCCCAGCACTCCAGAATCAGGATCCCACCTGCTGTGGGATTTCCCCAGGGTGGCACAGGACAGGGACAGGGAGGCAGCTGGGGCAAGAGACATTGCAGAGCAGGTGCCCTTCAGCGTGTCTCCCCCACCGCATAGAAGGTCCATGGAGGTCCTGGCACAGGGCTGTGACAGCACTTTTGTGTGCCACAGGTGACAAGGGGAGCCCCCAGGTGTCAGAGCCCCAGGATGGTTCTAGCCCAGCACCCTTGGAGCCAAGGGGTGGAGGTCAGCATGGGATTGGATTCAGGTCCCACCTCCCTAGGACTGGGTGCTGTGGGAACCCAGCAGCTCAGCACCAGGGAGATGAGAGGCTGCAGGAGGAGCGAGTCCCTGCAATGGGCGCCTTCATCAACCACCTCTGCATCTGGGTGCTGAGCTGGGTGGACAGGATGTGGCTCCTGCTCCTAGATCCCCACTTAAACCCTCTTGTGGGTCTCAGACCTTCTCACCCTCCTGCCCTAGACCTGCTCTGCAGGAGGAGCAGGGTGATTAGGGTTGGGTGGTCCTGGGGAGCTCAGTGAGGAGGGGGTGATGGTGTGGCACCTGCTGCAGGATCGAGCGGGACAAGGCGTTTGCACAGAGGAAGGCAGAACGGGCCACGGTGCGGATGCACCTGCGGGACAAGTACCACCTGGCCCAGGTAAGAACCAGCCTGTCTGCGAACCCGGGGGCTTCCCCTTGACCCTACATCGACCGGAACAGCCTCAGGCCCACGGCTGCCGCGCTCCCCTGGGGCTGGAGGGATTCCTGAAGAGGGCAGCAGACGGCCACTATCTCCGCCTTACTATCTGCTGCCCACTGTCCATCCAGCGTCCGAGTCTGGCACTGGACAGTCCTGGAATCCCGCCGTGTCCCCAGCCCCCTGGGACTGGCTGTTCTCTGTCCCGCGTCCCCCGCTCCACCCTGGTAGGCACCGCGTCTGTCCCCACCCGACACCTCTCCCACCCGCGTTTAGGACGAGCGGGACGATGCCCAGGTGCACGTGGCCGGAGGGGCGGTGGAGCTGCCGCAGGACCTGGCAGCCATGGTGCACAGCGAGGAGGAGGAGGAGGATGGCAGCGCCGGGGCCTTCGCCTTCCTGGCGAAGCTGAGGCAGGTGGAGCTGCCGGCGCTGCGGGACCGCGCTCTGGGCGGCGTGGATCAGGTTAGGGAGAAGTGCGCCCTGATGTAGCACCGCTGCAGGTGACATGGCAGCCCCTGTCCCCGGGAGCCACGGGATGCGGAGGCTCTGGGTGCTTTCATTTGGGGTGCGGGTCCCAATACGCTTTAGGCGTGGGTCTTCTTCCCCAAAACCATTCCCAGTTGTTTTCCCAGGATGTGCAAGGGTGCAGAATGCCTGGGTCCCCTCCAGACGGTATGGTCAGGTCCCTCTCGTGGTGCTCCTGGTGTGAGCCCCCATATGAGGCAGGTCCCTGACACTGTTACCCCCCTCACCAGCCCTGGTACCCTGCACCATTTGGCTCAATAAATACAGCATTTACAGCATTTGCCGGTACCATTCTGGTCGTCCTGCCACATCCTGCAGCCACACAGTCCCTGTCCTGGTTGGTGAGGGGACATGATGACAGCACTGGAGCTGGGCTGCCCCATGTCCCCTGAGCCACCAACCAGCTTGGTCACTGGGTCTGTCCCCCCGTTCCGCAGGAGCCCTCACTGGGACCCCCTTGGCTACCCCTTGGGGACAGCACCGGGAGCGGGTGTGGAGCATTTACTCCCGTACTCGAGCATCCCCTCGGTGCGGGCAGCAGGGGCATCCCTTCGGCTGGGCCAGGGTGCCCGGCTGCCTCTTGCCCCGCCAGGGACTCTGTCCTGCGCTCGGCAGCAGCGCTGGCTTAAATGCCGCCGCGCCGGAAGGCCGGGGGCTGCTGAGATCACTAATACCTGCCTATTTTAGCGAGGTCTAATCTTCCTGAGTCGCCTGTCCCCGAGGACTAAGCTCGCTGAACCCGTGTAAAATGTTCTGGGCCCAGCGCTGGCCCCAGCGGCAGCTCCCGCCGGAGCCGGAGCCGCCGGGAATCACGCTGTGTGTGCATGAAAGGAAGGACGCGCTGAGCCGCCTCCATCCTCCCCACGCCGCTGCCATCTGCTCCGGAAAGGCTGCGGGGACGGCCCTGGCCGGGCTGCCCACGGCCGCGCTGGCCGGGCTGGGAGGGGGCGGCCGGATCCAGCGCAGGTGGGCTGGGAGCTGTCCCCGGGCTCAGCGCTGCCGCCAGAGCCATCGCGCTCAGCTGAGAGCTGGAGCGGACGGAGCAGGGAGCGCCCTGGAGGCACGAGGTGCCCGGCTCCCCCCGGAACCCCTCCGGTACCAGTGCAGCGGCTGGTGGCTGCTGGAGCATCCCAGGGGGCGTGAGACAGGCTGGGCCTGACACCGGGGAGCCTCGGGATGTTTGGTGGCCCCACTGTCCCTGCTGACTTCATCATCCCTGCTGTCTCTGCCATCGTTCTCATCCCCGTTCACCAGCGTTTCTTCAGAACTCGGGAAATCTCCCTTCAGGCACAAACCCCACCTGTGGGATGGGATCGTCTGTGCCACGCCAGTCCCTCGCCAGGATCCTGACAGGGTGTTAGCAGCTGTGGCACCCAGCACAACGCTGATCCCACCCCACATCGCCACCAAGTGCCAGCTGCTGGGATGGTGGCACTGAGGTCCCCAACGAGCTCTGCCACCCCACCTCAGTCCTCCATCCCCGTTCCACATCAGGGTCCCATCCTGCTCTGATGGGCAGCCCTCTCCCAGTGTTCCCAGTGGGGCTGCATGGGCACTCCCAGCGCCAGCTGGGATTCGGGTCAGGACCCTCCGCCAGGTCTCCTTGGCTAATCGTCCTGCCCCCCCGCCCTCCCCATGCTGCCACCTGCCTCCCGCTCAGCACCCTTTTGGGTCACCCCTGCTGCCTCTCCGCCTGCTAAAGGCCTCTTAATGAACTAAAAAAGTGATAAATCCCCGGCCGAGCTGGTCACGTGAGGCCGGTGGCCCCCGGCCGCCCCCCGGCCCGACCCCCGCCTCCGGCCCCTCCGCCCCGGTAAGCTGACGCAGCGTCTCTAAGCGTTAGCAGCTTTGCGCGCTAATAGGATTAGGGAGGTTTAAAACTGTCATTTGAGTGAACTAAACCCCCTGATACTCTGCATTGCACCTTCTTAACCAATTTGCCTTCAATTAGGGTAATTGGGAAACTAGCAAAGAAGTATAGCATTAATATTTTAAAGTGATGAAGCGATTACGGGCCTTGGACAAGGAAGCAAATCAATTTGCTATCTGCTCCTAAAAGGCAATTATAATCATTTGGCAAATCAGCCTGCTGCCTCCCCCCGGGCGAGGCAACACCTTGTGGCGGCCGCGGGGCCGGCACGGCACACAGAGCGCGGGGCCGGGCAGCCGGGCAGGGACCCGGCCCCAAAAACACGGCACCCCGGGGACCTGCCCGCACCCCGGGCCAGTGGGGCACCCGGGGAAAACCTGCCGAGGGCCGTCGGGGTGGGGCACACGGCTCCTGCGCTCGTCACGGAGGCCAGCATGGGCATCGGGGCGAGTGGGGTCCGGTTTGCACCCCAGCCCCACACATCCCCCCTGTCCCACACATCCACATCCCCCTGCCCCACACATCCCCCCTGCCCAGGGATGTCCCCAGCACCTCTGCAGGCAGCAGGTCCCTGCTCTCCCCTGCACTCCTGCAGTGCTGCATGGCACGGGAGTGTCACCCCAAACCCAGGGGCTGCATGGCCTGCCTGTGCAGCTCATGCCATCCCTGGGGTGTAGTCTTGTCGTCCCCAGGGCAGTGCCAGCTTGTCCCTGGGGTGGTGGCACACTGTCCCCGGGGTAGTGGCGTGCCATCTCCAAGACAACATCACACTGTCCCCAAAGAGGTGTGAGACAGGGCAGGTGAAGCCTCACAACCCCAGTGGGGGACAACGGGGTGGCCTCGGGGCCCACCAGGACACAGAGGGGGCTGCTCACCAACAGCAGCTCTGGTGGGGAGGGCACAGACCCACTCCGGGGCCAGCAGCCACCTGGCACAGGGTCCAAAACCCCCACAGTGACATTTGCCATCTGAAAGGGGAAGCGTGGCCAGGAGGGGAAGGGAGTGGGAGGAAGCCTAGACAGGCCCGGGGGTGGCGGTGGTTGCAGGTGGCAGGAAGAGGGTTTTGGGAGAAAGTAAAAGTGAGCAAAGAAAGAAAAGGGCAAAATCCTTGGTGGGGGCTGTGGGCAGCACCAAGCACAGCCCAGGACCTCCACCATGATGTTTCCATCATTCTTTGGAGCCCAGAGGCAGCAGTGGGAGTGCGGAGGAGAGGAATGGTAGCCCTGCCCCTCAGACTGGCTGCCTTTGTCCCATGCCCCCTTAGGCCAGGGCCCATGGGCACCCCCAGGGATCGTCCCCTTGGCTGAATCCCACAGCTGCTCCCCACAGGGTGTTCCCATGCCTGGCCCAGTGCTCAGTCCCATGTCCATGGGTCATCCCCACGCCTGGTCCCGTGGGCACTGCCCCATGGCCGCTCCCCACGCTTGGCCTGGTCCCCTGCCTCTGGTCCCCGTGAGTGTTCCCTGCCTGGTCTTCATATCAGGTCCCCAAGGCTGTTCAGGGGGGCTGGTCTCTCTGGCTGGTCCCTACACCTGGGCCCACAGCCAGACCCCAGAGCAGGTCCCCAGACCGTGCCCACACCCTGGGTCCTCACGCTGGACCCCATGCCTGGTCCCCATCCCTGTCCCCACACTGTCCCCATCTCTGCTCCCCACATGGACAGGGCTCTGCAGACAGCACCACTGGGAGCCACAGGGCCACCCACGCTGTCACAGGGCCACCCCCAGGCTCGCCATCCCTGTCCAGGGGGGACAACACCCATCACTGCAGCATCCCCACCCCACTGAGGCTTGGGGCATCTGCCCCGGACCCCATCCCTGGGGCAGAGGCTCCACAGTCCAAGGAAATCCTGCCCCCTCCCCCTCCATCCTTTCTTCTCCGCTCCCCCTGTTTCTAATTCTTTCTCCTCGCCCGTAATGAGGGGATTACACGGCAAACTCCAGCAGGACGCCTTTGTGGGGAGACAATCCGAGTGGGGAAGGCAGTTCGGGGCTTTGTCCGCCACTGCCCCCCCGGACCCGTGCTGGGGGGACATTTAGAGCAATTACTTGTCCAGAAAGTAACTGTCAATCATTCTTAAAGGGGAAGGCCTCCAATTAATAACCTCGTCTTAATCCTTTGGACTCATTTCCAATCTGCGGTGCCTTGGTGACATCTGCAACACTAAATAAAGATTCTCCCGAGCCTTAGCACGGCGGTTCTGTGACAAATAAGAAGACTAGAGGCAACTTTGGCTGCCAAAGCTGCGAGATTGGTGAGGTTGAGCCGCTTGTTTGGTTCCCGGGAGGGACCAGCAAAGTTAAATACTCCTGGAAAAGCCGAGTTGGGCCCAGCAGGTAACGCCGTTTTTTTCCAATTCGGGACAAAGCGCCGAGGGAAGATGCTGAGAAAGGGAGTGGGTGTCCCCAGGGTGTGCCTGGGGTCGGTGTTGGGGACGGGGCTGGCACCATTCCCTGGGGACTCAGGAGCGGGTGCGGGCGCCCGCCAGTGTCACTGGCCCTGAATCACACAGAGCCAGGGGCAGGAGCCACCCATGCTCTGACCACCCATCCCTGGCGGCTCGAGCCCAGGGAGCCAAATTCTGGCAGCCAGGTGGGCTTCTAAAGCAAAGAATGGGGTCCCAGTGGAAGGTGGGGCTGTCCCTGGACTGTCTCTTCCACATCCCCTGCTGACAGTGAGGACACCTGTCCTCACTGATGCTTTGCAGTGCTCAGGAAGTGAGGGGTTTTACCCACTTTGACCGGGGCTCAATGTCATTTCTGTTGCTTTTTTGGGTGTCTTTACCAGCAGCCATTCCCTCCCCACAGCTAGCAGCCCCCACAGGAAAACCGTGGGCTGGAGCATCGAGGAGGGGGGGGAAGAACTCTCCTGAGGTATTGGGTCCTTATGGTTCCCAGCACAGTTTTGCAGCTTAAGGGCTTAAACCCAAAAATTGCTGCTAAACCCCCTAAATTTTGAGTTTAAACCCAAAAATTGCATGAGAGTGGCTGCAGGAAGATGTCCTTCGGGAGCCAGAGTTTAGCAGTTCCCCACCCCCAGCTCAGCCTGGCCTGTTTCCAGGCAGGATTCCCAAAACACCAGTGGCAAAAGCTTG